GATACATAACAGAGCGTTTTGTATTATAGTTACATCTAGAATAAACGACGCGATGATATGTCGTTGTCGTGTCGTTATATCGTGTCTAGTGTAAATGTAGCTTTATACGGCAAAGGGGAAAGGCTACAGCAGATTTGCACGTCTGGGAGAGTCTATTGGGATCCCAAATCTTTGTTGCTATAGAGATTGTGAAAAGTTTTCAAATCCAGTCGCCACTTTTAGTCTGGAAACAATGCTTGAAGTCTCCTATCTGAGGCACGATGGGTGGGGGTATTTTTAGTCGTAGTAAAAAAAAAAAAACCTGATTTCACAATGGATTTCAACCCAAGGCCCCATGGTCGTATCCGTGTTTAACATTTTGATGGTGTGGAGTGCGAAAATGAAAGAAATTGGCTGGAACATGGGTCACTAGAATCTCATCTCATGTTTTAATGATGATAATGAAATTATCGAATACATCGTCATCATCAGCAGCACATACATTTTATCATTTTGTTGATGGTTCTTCGGTAGGTACCTGACGGTTACTACGCTTATTTATGGTTTGAACGATTTGACGTTGAGTCCTGGATAGAATACGATTTTTGCTTCGACTATCTTACTATTACAACTTTCCACACCAACAGGAGAAATAAACGAACTTCTAACACGGATGTGTAAGTTATTTGGATATTTGAGTTTATTCAATACGGTATATATTTTGTTTTTGTATGTTAACTTATTGTTTTTTATCGTCTTGTGTTAAATACTGTCTGCTTGGATACATACAATGGATCCTTCGGCTAAGCCCCGCCCCTTGGATATTGTTGCTAAGGTCCGACAAGCCGACATTGTTAAAACATACGAAAACATGAGCGTTTGTGGGACAGCACGTGTGTTTGTGAGACGCGCGCGTATTCATAGCGCTGTTCTGATTGGTCTATTATATACTCCAGACTATAACATTTTATTTGACAAAAACATGCCTAAATATGGTCATTATGACAATCCATTGAGAATATTTGTAAAGCGCCTTTCTTTGCAGATACGAAGCGCTGCACCCCACATAATTAGGCACCACACAACCTACAAGCAGCCGTGATCAATGCATAACCCAAGCACAGAACAAGTAAACAAATCAAAAGAAGGAGTGGCAAAGCTTGTAAACATGAGTAAATAATGCAACAATAAAAATAAAAATAAGAATAAAAATGGAATAATTAGTTAAATAAATGAGTTTTTAAGCTAGACCTAAAGACAGCCACAGATGGTGAAGATCGAATATGCACTGGAAGGTTATTCCATAAGAGTGGCGCCTCGCATGAAAAAGATTTGTTACCAATACGCTTGTTAAAGATAGGTTGATGGAAATTAACATTCAAAGCTGATCTGGTACGAATTTGCTTTTTACGTACAAGTAAAAGTCAGAGATATATTGTGGGCATAGGCCACACAGTGATTTGAAAGCAAAAACCATTAACTTGAAATAAACTCTTTGCCTAAAAGGCAGCCAGTGACGTTCACGAAGAAGATGTGAAGTGTGAGTATGAGAGGATCGGATGTTATAAGACGTGCAGCAGAATATATGCACATCATGACTATATATGGGCATACAAACAACATTTTTTTTGTCAAATAAAACGTGATAGTCTGTCCGTTGAAAAGTTTGCCGTGGACATTTTCAAACGCATAACTATACTGTGTTCAATTTAGAATTTCCTTATTGTTTTGATTCTTGTCATTATTATTAATATTACCATTACTATCGTCAACATTGCTAATTTTATTATTTAAAAAAGTTATGTTATTTATTGATTAAAAAATCCATATTCCAAAATATAATCTAATTCGTATTTTCAACTGCGCATGCAATCGACATACACATATGTTGTATGTGTTTGTTTATGTTCATTGACCTCCATATGAGCATGTGCAGTTCAAACTACGATTTAGCTTATCATCCGCAAAATTGTTTCCCTTCCCTGTAGATATTGTGGACAAGAATTACCACCAGATGTCTGCACAGACGATGATATCATCATTAATCTTGATGCCGATAATATAATCACATGGACGGGTTTCTTACTTCATTATAGAATCCTAGACACTAAACCTGGAGGTATAGTTTTGTTGGATATATTTTAAGTGGTTCTCTTTCAGGATGGCAATCGCCTGTATTTAGTGAGTGAGCAAATCTGATGCCTGCGTTTCATCACAGAAAAATACATGTTGTATGTATGGTTTAATACAACACTTGAAAGATGAATGAGTACACAACGTGTTGTGAAAAAAAAACAATGTAGAAATTAGAGTTGATGTCAACTTGCATGCGATTGATTTGATGGAATAATGACTATTAACCCCCGAAAAACTCATCATCCACCTGATTTGAAGCCTCCCAGTCGGTTTATTGGATGGACGCCCACGGTGTGTCATGACTAGAACTGTGTATCTGTCGATCCATGCTCTGCTCATACCCATCTCATACTCTCCAGTAATTAATTTTTGCGTTTTGCTCATAATCAGTTTCAGTATAAAAACACTACAGTATACCCGCCCTTTGTGTCGACCAGGTATACCAAAGGGTGAATGAATGTTCACCTCCAAATGGTGCGCGCGCAGGATTGGCTGAAGCAGCGTACCGTCACGATATTATTGGACTCGATGTAGCCTAAGCCTTCTATTCTTTATTATCTGTCCCAGGGAGGGGCAGATATATGGTCTAGGCTACCTAAGTCTCGTGTTAAGCTAAGGTCATGCGTGTTCTAGATGGCTGAAAATGGCACTCTCAGACTGCATTTGAATGTAATTTTATTTTGCCCAAATTTTCCCCTTTTGATTTGCCTGTGATTAGAATAATGGTCTGTTGGAGGCAAATACACCCTATTAAAGATCTTTTGTCTAGATTGTACTCATTCTCGCCATAGGCCTACAGTATTCATACTCATGCTTCAATCTTCATCATTGATCATTTTAGTGTGGGATTCTTGGTCTGCCTGGAGTACATGTAGCGCCACCTGCGGCTCTGGATACAAGCAACGTACCCGTGTGTGCCCCACCTCTGACTGCGTGGGCCCCAATTCACAAGCAACATCATGTGATTTACACCAATGTCCAATCGGTAAGTCCATGTTACTATATCAGTATTAAATATATTAAATCTATAATTAATAGGAATGATGGTGTTAATGATGATGATGGATGATGAAGAAGATTATAATGATGATAAGGAAGATGATGATGGTGGTCGTGGTGTTAATGACGATGATAGGCCTGCGTGATGAAGATGATGATGGTTAAAAATAACAATGAAGAAATCGATAAAGATAACGATCATTATACGATAATGATTACAATGAGAATGATGATTAGTTAAAATGTAAATATTGTTATAATTATTTGTACTCTCAGAACACCTGTATGAGATATTTTATCATGTAAGCCTATTTCCCATAAGGTACTCAACTTTGGCGTGATCTCTAAATAGGTTGCCAACCTGCTATTGAACACAACGTGACGAGTAGTGGAGGAAGAATTCGTTCCCCGGGCTACCCATTCCAGTACCCGAGGAAATACTTCATCAGTAGATGGGAGCCCTGCAGTGTCAACGTTAATATTCCAGACAACATGTCGGTTACGTTCTCTTTCGAAGACCTTGATCTTACCTCCTCAACCAGCTGCTACTTTGATTACTTGCTATTTAATTCACCAAGCAGAACGTAATTATAAATACTATGACTTTTTTATAATTTATCTAAAAATCATAAATATTTTAGACATATCATTTATTTATGTTTTAAGTTATATACATATACATATATATATAAATTATAACAAATATTGATATATAATAATAAATTAGGTAAATAATAACAGTTTAATAATCGTATCAAGTACAGCCCTTCTTAATGAAAATGTAGTAGGAGAAAAAATTGTCTCGGTGGGATTTAAACTTTAAACCTCTCGTTATCAGAGTGTCATAT